TCCCTCACATGACTCCATATTACCCTGTTCCCTCCACCAAAGTCAAGTTGTCTGAGGGCTGCTCTCCCCTAGGACCAGCCAGCTGCCTTTAGCATGCCCAGGAGTCTTGCCAAAACCTGATTCATTGTAGGGTCCAGAGCAACCCTTGGGCTGCCCATTGTGCAAACTCAGAATCATCCCAAGCTGCGGCCACGTCCCCTGCAGCTCTCTCTTTCAACAGTATTGTCCTGTTTGCCATGGTTTCTATCCTTCCCCAAAGCCAGCAACAGTTTCAGGGTCACACACACAGACCCTGACTCCAGCTGCAACATTTGCAACAGCGATAACAACTATGTATCCAGTGCCTCCCCCAGTGATCTCATTCTTCCAGAGGTCTTGCAAAGGAAAAATGCCTAGCCCCATTTTACAGGTGGAGAAACAGACACCAAGGAGGTTAAACCACTTGCTCAAGGTCATACTGCCAAAAAGGAACAAATTCAAGATTTGACCTAGCTTGACCCATGGGTTCTGAACCTCACCCAGCAGCTGGCCAGGCTCCCCAGAAGAAAGGGTCTTCCCCCTGTCGCTTGCTTTCGGGGTCCCTAATACTCCCTCTTCCCCAACAGCCCGTGCTCCCACACACAGCTGTGTGCCTCTTGTGTGGGGAGGCTGGGAAGGAGGACACAGTAGAGGGAGAGGAAGAGAAATTTGGTTTGAGCCTCATGGAGTGTACAATCTGCAATGAGATCGTCCACCCTGGCTGCCTGAAGGTGATGGCCCTGGGGGCCCTGGAGTCTGAAGGTGATGGCCCTGGGGAGCGCTGCCTCTGGGTTTACTGGCACCCTACATCCACTCCCTGCCCTCTGCCTACAGATGGGGAAGGCTGAGGGTGTCATCAATGCGGAGATCCCTAACTGCTGGGAGTGCCCTCGCTGCACCCAGGAAGGCCGGACCAGCAAGGTAGGGGTAGGGGCTGGGCTGGGTGCTGGGTTCTGCGTAGACAGTGGGTTGGGGAGCTGGAGAGAACCTCAACCCCAGCTTCCATCTCCCCAGGATTCAGGTGAGGGACCAGGCCGCCGCAGGGCTGACAACGGCGAGGAGGGCGCCAGCCTGGGGAGTGGATGGAAGCTGACGGAGGAGCCGCCGCTTCCACCACCCCCACCCAGGCGCAAGGGCCCCTTACCTGCTGGGCCCCCCCCAGAGGACGTGCCTGGGCCCCCCAAAAGAAAGGAGAGGGAGGCAGGGAATGAGCCCCCCACCCCAAGGAAAAAGGTGAGCCAGGGAGCATGCTCATTAGGTCCAGCCCAAGGGATTCTGGGAACGGTAGTGTAGTTCCTTTTTGGGGAGGGTGGGCCTGGGAGGCTGCGCTCTGTGGGTTCTCCAAGGGGTTGTTGGGGGATGTAGTTTAGGAAATGTTGGGCGGGGAGGGTGGAGCATGCTCGGTAGGGAGGAGAGGTACAGGTGAGGGGCAACTGGCACTGGGCAGGGAAGCTTTGGGAGCCCTGGGTGCTTCAGGTAGGAGGGAGAGAGCATGCTCAAATTAGCTGCTACCGAGGAGGAAGGAGGGGCTGGAAAGGGCCTGAGGGGGAAGAAAGAGAAGAGGAGAGCATGCTCAGTGAGCCAAGACACTGGTTGGAAGGTGAGCATGCTCAGAGTTCTTCCTGAGATGCGGGCTTCTGGGATTTGTAGTCTAAGAAGCGAGCATGGATCTTAGTTTTGTGGACAATGAGGGGCTAATGGGGCCTCTCCCTTTCCCCATATTTCCCTCTTGCTCTGGTAGGTGAAAGGAGGCCGAGAGAGGCACCTGAAGAAGGTGGGTGGAGACGCCTGCCTCCTCCGAGGATCGGACCCAGGCGGCCCCGGCCTTCTGCCCCCCAGGGTTCTGAATCCGAGCCAGGCTTTCTCATCCTGCCACCCTGGGCTCCCTCCCGAGAACTGGGAGGTGTGCCGGGGACCTCCACCCTCCCCCTCCCATCTTTCCTTGCCCTATCCTCCACCCTGGAGACAGAGATCTGTCCCTTCCTGCTCACCTTGTCCTGCCCCTGCCCCATTTGGCCACAGTGGCATCTGGACCCCTGGGAAGAGTGGAGGGGGAGAGGTGGGTTGGGGCCAGCCCACAGGACTTTCCAGGAACCCCTCGGGTGTCATCTGACCCATTTGCGTCATCTTTCCAAACCTTAAAGGGAAAAGAACTGAGTTCAAATCCCTGCCCACTGACTCCCTGTGTGGTCTTGGCAACTTGTCAGCTGCTCTGAGCCTCGGTTCCTCATCTGTGAAGGAGAGGATACTACCTATCTTATCCACCCATCCCACAGAACTGTTTATATCTAATGAAAGTAAATGAGATTTGTGAACTGTGAAATGTACTTAGATTTGAGGAAGATGAGGCCCAGAGAGGTTAAAAGACTTGCCCAAGGTCCCACAGCAAAGCTAGAATTCAGATGTCATTTTGCACTGACACATGAATGCAAGGGTCTGCCTGATTGTGTTCAAATCCTGCGTCTGCCATTTGTCAGTTTGTAACCTCGGGCAAGTCACTCGGTCTCTCTGAGCCTCAGTTTCCTCGAGTGTAAGAAGAGTGGTCCAGGTTGCCACTCCATTGGAGCACTGTGAAGATGTGAGTCCGTGAGTATGAGGTGCTCTGGCACTCTCACATCGTTGAGTAGACCCTTGGAATCACCTAGTCCAGCGTTCTGTGTTGTAGATGATGAGGCCGGGGCTTCCCAAGGTCACACAGAGAGGTGGTAGCCGAGCCGATACTCAAAACGACATCTCTAAGTGTTCTCCGTATTTCACTGCCTTTGGAAACTCATAAGCTATTGAAACCTGGAAGGCTTCTAATTCTTTGCATCAGTGCCTTCACGTGACAGATAAGGAGACTGAGGTCCAGAGAGGGACATGATGCGGCTGAGGCCTCACGTCGTTCAGGGGCAGAGCCATGGCTGGAACCCAGGACTGTCTCTTGGGCTGCTCATCCCCTGCTGACTCCTCAGGGCAGGGAGGTGGGCAAGTGCGTGCCAGGCCCTAGAACAGCCTCCCCCCATCTCCTTGCAGAAACCAAAGCCGCCTTTGGCCTCTGCTGAGGGCCCGGCAGCGCCATCCCCGTCCCCACAGAGGGAGAAGCTCGAGCGTTTCAAGCGCATGTGCCAGCTGCTGGAGCGGGTCCCTGACACCTCCTCGTCCTCCTCGGACTCGGATTCCGACTCTGACTCTTCAGGCACATCGCTCAGTGAGGAGGAGGCCCCTGGCGAGGCCCGGAATGGGCGACGGCCGGCCCGGGGCAGCTCGGGCGAGAAGGAGAACCGCGGGGGGCGGCGGGCTGTGCGCCCCGGCAGTGGGGGGCCCCTCCTCAGCTGGCCCCTGGGCCCCGCCCCACCGCCCCGGCCCCCACAGCTGGAGAGGCACGTGGTCCGGCCCCCACCTCGAAGCCCTGAGCCCGACACGCTGCCTTTGGCCGCTGGATCCGACCACCCGCTGCCCCGAGCCGCCTGGCTTCGTGTCTTCCAGCACCTCGGGCCCCGAGAGCTGTGCATCTGCATGCGAGTCTGCCGGACTTGGAGCCGCTGGTGAGTGGCGGGGACGGGCCTAGGTCCCCACTTGCCGTATGACCCGCGACAGCCAGTTACGATCTCCCTGGGTCCTGTTCTTCCGTTGATCATACTCCTGTAGCATGGATGTTTTCTAGTCTGATACTTGCGTATTTGCTGCGTGCAAAGCCACTTTCCGTTGTTGGGGCTCATTTAACTCTCATAACAACTTTGTGAGGGTAGGGCCTATTATTCCTTTTTTACAGATGAAGCTGAGGTCAAGGTTGTGGAGAGGAGGTAGAACCAGGAATTTGAACCCAGGCCCCATGGCTCCAGAATCTTTGCTCCTAATAACCGTCATTTAGGAGAGTTAACGTGGCAAAGCAGAGCGCTAAGAGCTGTCGCACGTCACCCCGTTTGCTTTGCACAGTCCTTTCTCTGAGGACGGGCTCACTAGAGGTCCCCTTTACACATGAGAAAGCTCTTTGCTGAGGTGACCCCTGCCCTCTCGGAGGCAGCCATACTTCAGGCTCCTGACTCCCCTTGTCACTTTTCTATGCCCCGGAGCCACCACCAGCTCCCTCTGTCTATCCTCCCCCCATCTCCCCCCTGCTTCCTGAACCTTGCTTGTTCAGACATGTCGGTCATCCTCCCAAGCCCCTGGTTTCCCTCTTCAATCCTGCCCCTGACAAAGTCCTCCCCCAGTCCCATCAGACTCCCACTGCACCCTGTTCCCCTCACGGAGCACACAGAGGCCTTCCACACGTTGACGAGCCTTCACTCATTTATTCACACTCATGTTCTCATCGCTTGTTAGAGTGGGGCAGATACTGTGTCTGTTTTATCTGCGTGTTCCCAGCACAGGACGAGGGCAGTGGAGGTGCCCAAGAAGTAGTTCATTAAATGAGTACATTAGGCTCTTTCCCAGGCACTTCCTGTGCAGCAGGCGTCCTGGTGGGCACTTTGCAAATTGTGGGCTGCCTCGTTCCTTGTAATCGCAGCCCTGTGGGAGGATGAGGGACACCTGAAGTCACAGCGCAAACTGGTGGCTGAATTTGAACTCAACTCCTTTTCCTTGGGACTCTGGGGCACTAGCTTGCACCTCTGGTCTCTGTGGAGGCTGGAGAGCTGAGAGGATGGGAGTGCGGGCTCTGGAAGCAGATTGCCTGTGTTTGAGTCTTACTCTTCCCCTGATAAGCTGACAGCCACTGGGCTAGTTTCTTAACTTCTCTGTGCCTCAGTTTTTTCTTCATCTGTTAAGCCAGGAGAACCAAAGCATTTACTTCGTAGTGTCTTTATTTTTATTTATTTATTTTTATTTTATTATGTTGTGTTAGTCACCATATGTTACATCATTAATTTTTAACGTAGTGTTCCACGACTCACCGTTTGCGTACAACACCCAGTGCTCCATTCAGTACATGCCCTCCTTAATACCCATCACCGGGCCAACCCAGCCCCCCACCCCCCTCCCCTCTAGAACTCTCAGTTTGTTTCTCAGAGTCCATAGTCTCTCATGGTTCGTCTCCCCCTCCGATCTCCACCCCCCCTTCATTTTTCCCTTCCTGCTATCTTTTTTTTTTTTTTTTAACATATAGTGTATTATTTATTTCAAAGGTACAGGTCTGTGATTCAACAGTCTTACACAATTCACAGCGCTCACCATAGCACATAATCTCCCCAATGTCGTAGTGTCTTTATGAGCTAATGTACATAGAGAACCGAGGACAGTACCCAGGAAGTAGAAACTACTCAGTGCCCTAACTGTAACCTGTATTATTCATTCAGTTACAAATACTGACTGAAAGCACAGACTTTCTGAGTGCGAGCCTGGGCCCTTGAGGAGCTCCCAGTCAGCCTTCAGCACAGGAGCAAAGAGAGCGGTTGCTGGGAATCACCATCCCTGCACATGTAGTGTTCGGGGATATGTTGCTGGGGCCTCTTCAAGGCCAGCTCTGTGCTTGGCACGGGGGAATCCAGGACTGAAGAGGCCTTAATTTCTACCTCAAGGAGAGACTTGTGACTGGAAGTGGACAAAGCAGAGAGGCTGGACGGCACAGTGATTTCCAGCTTGGGCCCTGGAGTCTGGCACCCATGGGTGTCATCCACTGTGACTCCTGTCCTGCTTGAATATATAGCCGTGGATGGATAGCTCTACTTTTCAAGGCTTGTTTTCTCATCTGTAGTCTGGGGTTCATACTAATACCCTGTGGGGATTAAATGAAGTGATTCTTGCAACGCACTTATCGCAATACCTGAAAGGTACTAAACACTCAATAAAATGGTCGTTTTTGGTAAGGACGAGGGTAGGGCGGAGCAGAGGTACAGTGGGACCAGTCAGGAGGCTCTCTCAGGTCTAGGCGCAGAAGTAGGGGCTGGAGGGGTAGAGAGGAGGGACTGGGGCTGAGAATTTTTTAAGAAGCAGAATGGCTTGTGTTTGGTACCTGGGCAGCAGGGTGATAACTCTTCAGCTGAGTTTCTGGCCCACAAGCCTGGGTGGGCAGCAGCGCTATTCCCCAAGCTCGGGAATACCAGAGGAGGAGCAGGTTCCGGGAACGCGAAGTGCTCAGATTTGACACGTTTGGTCCGAAAGGCCTGTGGGCCAGTCAGGAGCTGGCAGGACGGCAGATGCATGTACAGGTCTGATGCTGGAAGGATCCAGGTTTGGAAGTTTTCCCCCTGCAGGTAGCAGCTTCCAGAAAGAGGAGAGAAGACAGAATGTCAGTATCTGTGAGTTAGAGAAAGACCAACCAGAGACATGAAGGAGATGGTGGAAGTGTCCTGCAGGAGAGAGATTGAGGAAGGAGTGAATGATAAGAGTGTGGGATGTTGGCAAGAGGTCGTGGGAGACCAAGGACCGACCACAAGCGGCAGTTGGATTTGCTACATGAGGCCCTGGTGTCCTTGGCTGTACTACGTGGGAGTAGGGCACCAAAGCCAGGTCACATGGGGTTGAGAACATCAGCTCCAAGGCAGGCACTTGATCTGTTCGTTGTGGTGTCCCTAGTTTCTAAGATGGCGCCCGGCATCCAGTAGGTTCTAAGATAGTACTGGATGGATGGATGGATGGATGGATGGATGGATGGATGGATGGAAGGAAGTGAGGAAACCAGGATGGTGTGAGGGAAGAGGCAGTGAGGGTGGAGCCAGAGAGAAATTTGTAGGTGGGAGAGCAGGGAGTTGCAGGCTTTCCTGTCTGGTGGCTTTTATCTCCTCTTGGAACTGGGAGGCAAAGTGAATGTACCAAGAGCGAGGGGAGGGGAGCAGGCAGAGGAAGCATGGTAGAGTTGTTGAGGCTCAGAAAAGAGGGTTGGAACTTTGGGGGACATGGGCAGAGGGTGGCAAGGAAGGGACTGGACCCCAAGGTCAAGGCCAGTTGGGGCTGGGAATAAAGGCCTGGAGACTGGTGGATAGGAGGACAGTGGTGGCATCGGGGAGCCCAGCGAGCTGAGAGGAAAGAACCAGGCTGTGAGCTCCTGCCCGGCACCAGTTGGGCTGGTACATCCACATCCCCAAAGGGCCTCTGCAAGACAGAGGCTTAGGACTAGAATTTCGGATTTGGGAGGTGGGCTTAATAGGGGGCTGACTGGGTCGGGGTGGCTGGAGGCTAGGGTAAAATGAACTGGGTTAGGGAACTCGGACATCAAGCCCTGATGCTCCCGGATGAGGGCAGGCCGTGCCTCTTAGCAGTTCTTCCTGCCCCTCACCTTAGTGTCATTCCGCAGCTTAGAAAGGACCCTTGCATGGTTCCCTGCTGCCCTCACAGTGAACTCTCACAGCCCTGTTGGACATTTGCACACGTATGGTATCTCAGTGCCTGCACTAAATGACGGTCCCACTGGGCATTGCGGCCTCCTTGCCAAGGCGTGCCACCCCAGTCTCCTCTGCAGTCTCCCCCCCTGCCCCTTCCTCAGACACAACTCAGGTGCTCAATCCAGACCAGCTTGGGTTAAAACCTGGTTCTGCTGCCACTTAGTAGCTGTGGGACCTCGAACAAGTTTCCCAACCTCTCTGGACCTCATTTTCCTTAACTCTAAAAAGGAGGTTATAGGGGCGCCTGGGTGGCTCAGTCGTTAAGCGTCTGCCTTCGGCTCAGGTCATGATCTCAAGGTCCTGGGATCGAGCCCCGCATCAGGCTCCCTGCTCAGCGGGGAGTCTGCATCTCCCTCTCCCTCTGCCTCTCCCCACTGCTCCTACTCTCTCTCTCTCGCTCTCTCTGTATCTCTCTGTCTCAAATGAATAAATAAAAAAAAAAATTCTTTAAAAAAATAAATAAGTAAAAAGGAGGTTATAGTAACAGTATTTACCTCCTAGGGCTGTTGTGAGGTTACCTGCCTAATGCACAGACCAGTACCTGGCCCATAGTAAACCCTTGATGAACACTAGGTATTAATGCCGTAGTCCTCCCCATCTTTATTATTATTAACCCTCATTATTAAGGTGAGGTGTGGATTGCCCTTTGTTCCTGCTGCCTGAGTTTCTCAGAGCGCTCCGTTTTCTCTCTCTATCCTAGGCCTGGACACTGGTTCTTCCCCATCTGGAACATATATTCTCTTCCCTCTTCTCACTGTCTCCCTGGGAAGCGCCCTGTCCAGTCCCCTTGTTGATTCTGACTATATCCCTTGCTGCTTCAGTTACCGTGGACTGGCTGTGTTTCCTCCACTTTCCTGACAGTGCAGTGGAGGCTGGACACTTAGGATCTGTAGGGCCCTGAGTGATTATTGGCTGCCACTCTGAGGTTTAAATCCAGTGTCCTGGTCATTCAAGGGCAAAGGGACCAATTAGTTCAAGCCAAGAAAAGTCATGGGAGACTTCCCGGAAGAGGAGACACTGGGACTGAGTGTTGAAAGCTCTGGGTTGGTTGGCGTTTCGGGCAGAAGCACAACATGTACCAATATATGTTGGCACCAGGCAGCATTGTGTGTCTATCGGCGGGCAGGTGGTTGGGTGTGGCTGTTGTAGAGTATGATACAGAAGCAGTTGGGGGCCTATGTGTGCCCCCAGGGGGGAAGGGTTCCTTTCTAGCCATGGAAGACCCAAGGGCTTCAGGGTGGTCGTGGCAGTTGAGCTGAGACTGAAGCCTGAGTTGGAGTGGGCAGGATTTCACCGAGGGGAATGAGAAAAGGGGCAGAAGCTCGGTTGAGGGTAGGCTGGGTTTTTTCCTTTTCTGTTTTGTAATGGGAGAGACTTGCAAGTGGTTATTGGTTGAGTGGAAGGAACCAGGAGAGGGAGAGGCTATAATACCAGGAGAGGGGGGAAAAGGAGGAAAGGGGGAAGGGGCGGCAGGCGGGACCAAGAAGTGGGGTTGTTTGGATTAAAGCCTTAGTGTCTGTGCCCCCAGTAATTCCCTAAAATGTCAGATGGGGCTCTGTGGAGAACGCCTGGGAGTTTCAAGTGGCACAAAACCATGGCTTAATCCTTCTATTAGTTTTGAAAAGGAAGTCTCTCCATTGCGTGCTATTGTATCTTTAACACCTCTCTAATACTTATCTCCCTGTTTAACAAAAATAGTCTTCAGGTGGTAGCCTAAAGCCTAATAATCCCGGTCGGTTTTTATTGTACGTATTTCCAAGGTTAACATTTTTATGTGAAGCAATACTGGGTTTAAGTGCAAGGAGGGGATCGATTGAAAGATAAATTCACATTCTGAGAGAAGGGGATAGCAACTAACTGGAGTTGGTAACCGCTGCTCCAGCCCAGGGCTTCTCGAAGGGAAAGCTCTCAGAATGGAGGGTGGGAGGGAGGTCACACACAGCTTCCTGGGCCTTCCCCACCCCTGCTGCTTCTGACACAGTCCGGCTAGCCCAGTGGGAATTTCCTGACATGCTTTTGAGAACTGGAAGAGAGTTTTCAGACTAAGTCTTGATGAACTCTAGTGTGCCACAAAGTGTTCACAGATGACCTTGGGAGAGGTGGGGAAGGGTTCCTTGGTAAAGTTAAGTTTGGGAGGCCCTTCTCTGGTTCACTGCTTGTCGGATCCGTCAGGGCTCTCAGGGATCAGAAAAGCTGTTTAACTTTGTGTAGGCCTCATTCATCTTTGGAACTTTGATTCCTGGGCCCTACCATGCCTTCCATAAACATTGAGTGGATAAATGAAAAGCTGTAGATGATGTGTGTTGTTGGGGAGTGCTCAGTGGAAGCTTCAGGGACTTCATGCCAGCTTCGCACCATTCATTCATGCAACAAATGTGCAACAGATAACCCCTGGCACAGTGCCAGGTACTGGCGCTACCAAAGGGGAAAAGCCGTCCTGCCCTGGTAGGGCCTACATTCTAGTTGGAGGGACACAGTAACCCGAGACAGGAGGTAACAGGGCTGGAAGTCGAGCCTTGGGCAGCTGGCCATCAGAATGGGCCAGATGTGGCTCAAAGGCAGAGATGAATAGAGGAGATGAGAAGTTCCCACGAGTCACCGTAACTTAGCCAGGGAGAACTCCAGAAGCACAAGGTGGGGCTGGTGGGGGCTGGTGACAGATCCCTTTGGTGTTACGTCAAATACAATGTGTAGGGTGTTTGTGTCTTTGGCCGAATGCTTTATAAGCTATAAGGTCTACAAACTGCAGTGACCTCATTTGATCTCACAGTAGCCCTATGGGGCAGTCTGAGTCTGGATCATTATCTTCATTTTACAAGTGGAGCGTCTGAGGCTCAGGGAGAGGAATGGGCCTGCCTGGGGTCTCGCATCCAGTTAGTGATGAAACTGAGCCCCAAACCCAGTGCCCTTGGCCCGAGGCTGGGTACTTCCTGCCACCCCTGCTGTCTTTGTGGGCCAGAACAGAGCTGTGGCCAATGAACCCTTGAAGTAGGGAGTTTCGCAGGCTCCCTAAGAGCTGAGGGCTCTGTCTCCCTCTTGTGGCTGATAGGTGCTATGACAAGCGTCTGTGGCCTCGAATGGACCTGAGCCGGCGAAAGTCACTGACCCCACCCATGCTCAGTGGTGTGGTTCGTCGCCAGCCCCGAGCCCTGGACCTCAGCTGGACAGGTGTCTCCAAGAAGCAGCTCATGTGGCTTCTGAACCGTCTGCAAGGTAGGGTGGGATGGCGAGGTAGGACAGGGTGAAGAGGGAGACAGTGCTGGGATGGAGCACCAACTTCCTGACCTCCCCTGCCCAGGCCTGCAGGAGCTGGTGCTCTCTGGCTGCTCCTGGCTCTCTGTCTCCGCCCTGGGCTCAGCCCCACTGCCGGCCCTGCGGCTCCTGGACCTCCGCTGGATTGAGGATGTTAAAGACTCCCAGCTCCGCGAGCTGCTGTTGCCTCCACCAGACACCAAACCAGGTGTGGCGTCTGTTGGCTCATCTGTAGAATGGGTTGGGCAGGGGAAGGGGGCGGGTATGAGGCCTCCAAGGTCTCTTCCGGCTCATGCTGGATGTTAAGAGATTTGAAGAAAGGGCAGAACGCATGAATTTGGTTAGGAGGCCTTGCTTGGCCACTGTTCATTCGCTTACTTCCCTGCTATGCATTGGGCCCTGTGATAGGAGCTGTGAGGGAACAGAGATGAAGGGGAAGTGGCCCCTGCGCTCCAGAGGGGAGATGATTATGTGATGAAACACGGTATAGGACAGGAAGATGGCATAAGAATTCTGGAAGAAGCCAGTGGCCTGGCCAATGGCAGATAGGAGTGAACTCACTGGGTGTGGTGGGCGCTCCTGAAGAGCCTCCTCCAGAGGGGGCAGCGGCAATGGCCATGGAAAATGCAGGCCCAGGATGGCCAGTCACTTCCGTTCATCAAGAGGAGCCAGACACGTGGATTTTCCTGTGAAATATCCTTGATTTTAAATGACAGCAGTTAACTTAACATTCTTTTAAAATTCATGTGTGGATCAGTACGTATATGGCTGAGCAATAGATTTGGCTCCTGTGCCCCCTTGCCCTACGGGAAAAGGATAAGGGTTTTCCTGAGGGAGTGGAGCAGAAGAAGGGATCCAGTTGACTTGGAAGGTTGCATCAGGGTGGTGGTATCTTCTCCCGTCAGGCCTGCTACCTCTTCACCCTGGGTCAGGCCCGGGTACCCTGTCAGGTAAAGACAGCTTTTACTGTTGGACACATACTCTGGCCTTGGCCCTATATAGGGCCCTGGAGACCTCAAACAGCCCCAGTCCCTACCCTGGTAGAATCCCAGTAGCGCAGAAGAGAGAGAATCAGAAACAGAAGGTTACGGGGTGGTACAGTGGAGGATGTGGTTGGGCATGGGGAGCAGAGAGAGAATCCCTCCTTGAGGAAGTGCTGTTTGAACTGAGTCCTGAAAGGGACAGGGTTGTCCCAGGGAGTGTGAGGCAGGAGTAAGCACTTTCGTAGGGAATGAGGCCCATACTGGTAGAGGGGAATGCTGGGAGCAGAGGCTGGTCACAACGGAGGTATGGGTTAGGAGCACTGAGGCCTGGGGGTTCCTTCCTTGTCTAGCCAGGAGATGGGATGCTCACAATAGCTTCTCTTGCCAGGGGAACCATCCAGAAGGGCAGATCTGTCTGTGTCAGCCCTGTGCTCTAAACTCCTCCTCATAATCTCCCAGTGCTCTTTGGATAAAGACTAATACATTGTCACTAAGGCCTGGTGTGGTCTGGCTCCCACTGACCTGTGCCATCCCCACATTTCAGCCTCTTCAGCCTCCTTGCCAAGGTTGCCTCCAGCCCTCAGGCCTTTGCTTAGTCCTCTTTGTCTAGAATGCTGTACCCCCCTTTGTCTAATTAACACCTAATCATTCTTCAGGCCTCAGCAAAAATGCCACTTCCTCCTAGAAGCCCTCCATAATCCTCCCCCACCCCCACCCCGCCCCGAGATCAGGGTTCCTTTAGAGCTTGAGAGCGGTTCCCTCCCAGCTATCACTGCATGGTGGTGAAGTGATTTGATGAACACCCATTTCCTCTCCCTGAGTTCTAAGCTTTGGGAGGGCAGGGGCTGTGCTCACCCCAGAGCCTTGCTTTCACAGCTCACTTTTCAGTTCCCTTCTTCCCACTCCACCGCCCCCTTCACAGTAGCCTTGGAAGGAGGTAGAGAAGCATCTAGGATTCTTCTTACTATCTGGACAAGGCACCAGAGGCTCAGAGGGGTTGACTGACTGCTGCAAGTCACACAGAGCTAGACCGGAGCACTCCCCGTTGCCCACTCTTACCGGAATCGGACTGAGCCAGGAAGATTTGGGTGGGGGTGAGGGTGGGCACTGGGAACCGTGGATTCCAGAAGGTGAGAAAGTGCTGGTTGGTGGGCACCGTGATACCAGTTCCTCCTGCCTGAACTACCTCAGGAGCTTGCAGAGATGAGCCTTCCAGGCCCTGAGACCTATTGTAGTGTTGGGACTCTACACCCACTTTTCTTATCTTGGCTCCCTGGCTCTGGGCAGCATTCCTTGAGCAAAACTTAAAAGTTCTTCTATTTCCTTATTTTTGTCCCTGCTGTTCTCTGCCTGGCCTGCTCTCGTCCCACTTCTCACATTCAAATCCTTGAAAGCCCAGCTTAAATGCTGCCACCTCAGTGAAATCCTTGCAGATGCCCACTTCCCCTGCCCAAGCCAGAAGTGACCTGTCTGTCCTCTGCTTCCCTCTAATGACTTTTAGCTGTGGCCCACGATTGAGGGCATCTGTAGATGTAGCCCCTTCCCAGGCTCTCAGCTCCTCAAAGGAAAAAACGAGGCAGAATTCAGAGTTTGCCAAGTCAAGTGCCCAAAAAATGGCCTGGCAGGTGACAGAGGGGATGCGCTTGGGGAATGGCTTTAGGGAATAGCATCTTGCAACCCAGTTCCCAGCTAGTCCTTTTCAGGTGAAAGGGATAGCCCAGTGGCGCCAGATCTTATAATTTTTCAGAGAAAAGCTCTATCTAAATTTCTTTATGGAAATGCCCCTTTTGTAGCATTCGTCATTTGAGAAAAATTTCAGCACTGTGTAGATTCCATAACGCATTTGTGTAGGCTAGTTTCATGAGTTGGTGATATCTGATCTGGTTTATCTATGGGCTAGGCTGGTGCCTGGGAGGCAGATAGTGTTGTGGTATGTTTGGTCTGGCGTCCTCTGTTATTTCAGTCATGTGACCTCGGACAGATTGCTTTAATGACTTGATCCTCAAAGTTGTCATTTGTAAGCAGGAGTGATAATCACATAGCTGTGGTTCTTAGAGCGTGGTCCAGACCAGCAGCATCACCATTACTGGAGAGCTTGTTAGAAAAATAAGCTCTGAGGCTCAACCTTAGATTCCCTAACCTCTGGGTGGGTCCAGCAACCATTTTAGGCAGCCCTCCAGGGGATGCAGAAGAGCCCCTGGCCTAGGGGCAGGCCGCCACTTGGCCCCCTTGGCTGGTGCCTGGCCCACACTGAGTGCTCAATTAATGGTGGCTGGTGTTTAGGCGCTTAGTTTAAAAAACAAAAAAACATAGGCGCCTGTGTGGCTGTGGGTTAAGCATCTGACTCTTGATTTCCGCTCAGGTCATGATCTCAGGGTCGACAGATGGAGCTACCCGTTGGGCTCCATGCTGGGCATGGAGCCTGCTTAAGATTCTGTCTCTCCCTCTGCCCCTCCCCTCTCCTCTCAAAACCCAAAATGCAGGAATGTGGTAGATACAATAAAAGAAAAGCAGGCTACATGCCACATGCTTTGGGTGTAGAGATGAGGGACATGAGTTCTTCTTCCGTGGAGATGAGGGAAGAAGTGGTCTCTAACCTCAGATCTAAAAGCCAGGGACGCCAGCCAGGCATAGGATTGAACATTAGGTGTCCGTGGGCAGAGTCTCAGAGCAGGGTCACCTGTGGATTTTGGCCCAGGTGTTTGGGAGTGTGGGAGGGGGGTTAGGAACAGAGACAGGGATGAACCTTTATAGGAACTGGAATGTTCTAAACAAGGAGGTGCCCTCAGAGTTTTTAGTAGAGGAGGGATGGTGCCTCACTTTTTAAAAAAAAATTTTATTTATTTGAAAGAGACAGAGATAGCAAGAGAGAGCACAGTGGGGAGGAGAGGGAGAAACAGGCTCCCTGATGAACTGGGAGCCGGACACAGGGCTTGATCCCAGGACCCCAGGATCATGATCAAAGCCGAAGGCAGATGCTTAACCGACTGAGCCAGCCAGGCGCCCCTGCCCCACTTGTTTGTGAGCACAGCTCTCTTTGAATGCCAGGAAGGAGAGGAGAGACTGGACCGGGTGAGGAGGCTGGGGCAGGAGTTGAGGCAAGAGTGGTGTTGTCCCTGAGGGGCGCCCAGGGAATGGAGAGAAAGGGATTCAGCTGGTGATGTTACTAATGGAAGGAGAGGGAAGTAGGAGGGGGGCCTGGGGTGGCAGTTCCATTAGGGATGGCATTTGTTGGATGAGTGAATATATACTGAGCACCTATGTCTCAATTGCTAGGGATAGAGCAAGAACAAGACAAAAATTCTTGCCTTTGTGGAACTTACATTCTAGTGGGAGGAGAGAAAAAAATAGGTTCCATGGTGAGAAAAGGAGGGGGGGACAATAATGGCAGGGAAGGGGTAGGAGTATGTGGAATGTTACCATATCAAAAGGAGTAATCATGGAGGGTCTCACCGAGGAGGTGATGTGAGCAATGGACAGATTAGATGAGGTCAGGTTGTACGGGTGTTTGGGAGAAGAGCAAGCCCTGTAGAGAACGCAGGTGGAGGCTCTGTTATTGTGGAAGCAGGTTTAGGGGGTGGCGAGCGATAGGAGTGTGGAGAGACGGCTGGTCTGGATGCTGAGGGGCAGGCACAGGAGTAGCCGGGGGTGCTGACCTCTTAACTGCCTGCCCAGGGCAAACGGAGAGCCGTGGGCGGCTGCAGGGGGTAGCAGAGCTGCGCCTGGCAGGCCTGGAGCTGACAGATGCCTCCCTGCGGCTCCTGCTGCGCCACGCACCCCAGCTGAGTGCGCTGGACCTGAGCCACTGCGCCCACGTCGGGGACCCCAGCGTCCACCTCCTTACAGCCCCCACTTCCCCACTCCGCGAGACCTTGGTGCACCTCAATCTTGCTGGTAAGCATCCTCTCTGTCCATCCTGCTAGCGTGTTGGTCCCCGTGGCCAGTGCCCACCCCCTACTCACTCTCCGCCGCCACTGCCCCCCTCCCAGGTTGCCACCGCCTCACGGACCACTGCCTCCCGCTGTTCCGCCGCTGCCCGCGCCTTCGCCGCCTAGACCTGCGCTCCTGCCGCCAGCTCTCACCTGAAGCTTGTGCCCGGCTGGCAGCCGCTGGGCCCCCTGGCCCCTTCCGCTGCCCAGAGGAGAAGCTACTTCTCAAGGACAGCTAGTTGGGTGCCCCCCACCCTCCCCCAGGACTCATCAGGAGCCTGGACCTCGGGCCTTCATTTTATCCCTGCCAGGAGGCCAGGTTACCCACCTCATGACTTGGGATTCCTGCCCAGGGACTCGAGCCAGCCTCCCCCCTCTCTACCCCCTGCACTGATATCTCTGGGGGTCTCTCCTTCCCATCCCCTCTCCCTTCCACCTGCTTCATTGTCCATCCCCTGGGGGGAGTGGGTCAGAGGTACAGGGGGGTGCTGAGCCAAAGGGATGGTGTGGGGGGGTAAGGTGCAAGTTTGAGGGAGGGAAATGGGGAAAGGGTACCTGCACACAGGATACTGGGAGCCAGGGGGCTGGGGGAGGTGGAGGATGGGCTGGGGGCGGGGGGTGGGGGGGCGCAGAAAGCAGACCACCAAGGGTTCAGGGAACAAAGACCAGATACTTGGAGTTGGTGGGTGGGGGTGGGGCCAAAAAGGGAAACCAGAGGAGCAATTGGGGATCCACGTGTCAGAGATGGGGGGGGACTCGGGGAACCAGGGGAAAGCCAGGGCTGAGAGAGGGGTGGGGGCAAAGAGCAGGTGTGGGGGCAGTAGTACCCCCTCAGGGGGTCACACCCCTCTCCTTACTCCCTCCCCAGATTTCAGTTCCTTCCCCCCCCCAACCCTGACTCCTTGAACGTCACTGACAATGGCAGCTATTGCGAGGAGTGGGGGCCGCGGGCCTACCCGCTGTTCAGCGTGGCCCAGGGGAGTGGTGAGGGGTACCCCAGCCCCCTACCTGTCTCCCCGCACAATACTTGAACATTCATCTGTACTGAAGTGTTACTTGAACCGGGGGAACCTCGGACCTGGGGGAGCCGGAGTGAGGGGACTGATCGGCTTGGACTGAGACTGGACTGGTGGGCACCCAGTTTGGACTGCGCCACCCCCAGGCTCTCTCTTGCTTTACTGTATTGAGCAGCTCCACCCCTCCTGACCTAAGGTGGGGGTGGGGGTGGGGTGCCAGCCCAATGATGGGGAAGATGGGACTCCTCCAGCTTGGCTCTTCCCACTCTTTCATCGTCATGGAAACTTGTATCCCATTTGCCCAGGGAACTGCCACTCCTGGTTGCCATGGAAATAGCAGCCAATGGACACCTCCCGAAGCCAGTGCTAAGGCTGGAAATGGCCCCTCTTAGTTGCCATGGGAACTTAGTAACAGACTCTTGGCCCTCCCCCACCCTCCTGGGGTGGGGGCGGGGCTTGGGGAGCCACGGGGAGGAGTTGGGGCCAGGTCCCGCCCCTCGGCCCAGGCCCCACCCCGGGGGAGCCGGGTTGTACCATGTAGGGGAGGGGGGATCTATCCACATACCTCAGGTAACAGGGAGGTGCGAGGGTGGGGGGAGGGACTGGGCGGACCAAAGGCCGGAGGGGAGGGGGTTCTGGGTATCGCGAAAGGCTTGAGGATGGGGCCGCTTGGGGGAGGGGGAGGAGGCAGCCCGGCGGGGGCAAGTGGGGGTCCCAGCCGGGCTGGGCCCCTGGGCCCCAGGTCTGTACAATACGGTTTGCTATAAAACTCAAAATCTTCCAGCCAGGGCCGCCGCGTTCGTGTGTCTCTCACCGGCGTTGGGGTGGGGGGGAAGAGCTGGGACGACCGGAGTGCTCATCCTTTGGGCCTCCCGGATGGATCTGGGGGTCCTTAGGACCTCCCAGCTTCTCGGAACTGAGGATGCCGGACACCCTGCGGTGCCTACAGGTGAATGGGTTCACCTTCCCCCAGCTCACTACTTACGGGGAGGGGTTCGGAGGTCTGGGCATCTAGGGGGTGTCCAAGTGTGCCGAGTTGTCCAGGGCCCGGGAACCCCCAGTCCTAGGCTGGGGTCCGGGCGCCTGGGTGATAGTGAAGTGGCCTGGGGTCGCGAGGTCCCTCGGGATCTCTGCCGAGTCTTTCGTTCCCCGCCCCAACCCCCGCCCGAGCTCCACCCCATCCTGTGGCCGTTCGGGCTCCGCCTCCGCCCCAGTTCCGGTTTCGGCCTCTACTATCCGGCTTCGGCCCCTGGGGCTCCTCGCAGACGCCTGCTTTCCCTGCTCCACACGGGCACCTCTTCCTGGGCGTCCGCCGCCGGCATCCCCGCTCGCCCCGCCCGGGGATGGGGCCTTCCACCGGCCTGGGCCGGCCCTCGTGGGACCCCCGGGGCGACTCGGCGCCCCCGTGACCACCCAGCCCGCCCAGTGCTGCGGCCCCCGGGATGAAGGGCGGCGAGGGGGACGCGGGCGAACAGGCCCCGCTGAACCCGGAGGCCGAGAGCCCCGCGGGCTCGGCCACGTACCGAGAGTTCGTGCACCGCGGCTACTTGGACCTCATGGGGGCCAGTCAGCACTCGCTGCGGGCCCTCAGCTGGCGCCGCCTCTACCTCAGCCGGGCCAAGCTCAAAGCCTCCAGCCGCACGTCTGCCCTGCTCTCGGGCTTCGCCATGGTGAGGGGAGGGAAGGGGCGCACAGGGTGGGGGTGAGGCACATGGGGGCAGGGGGTCGCGGGCCAAGTAAACGGGTACCCAAGGGAGATGGGACAGAGGAAAGGGAAAGCAAGGGTTTTTAAGAGGTAAAGGAGTACAGACAAGGTCCCAAGGGACTACTCGAGTCCCGTTTTACGGGTGTGCGTGCGTGTGTGTGTGCGTGTGTGTAAACAGACCCCTAGCATATACTGGGCCATAGGGAGTATAAACAAGCCTCCAAGGAGGGAAGACAAATCACCAAGGGGGATACATATGCGAGGGTGGGGCAGAGAGGTCCAGAAGGAGCGTGGTCCCAGACAGAAGTCATTACCAGGTTCACCGGAGAGATTCAAAGGCAAATCAGAGCTGGGTGGGGGCCCTATAAACAGGACTGGGAGAGTCAAAGAAAATAAACTGGATGCAGTAGTCCCCCAGCTGAAGGCGGCCCCATCCCCAGGAGGATGACCAGTCCCTGGCAGGCACAAAGAGGGCTTGGTGTAACCCAGGACAGCTTTGAGTAGAGAGGATGCCCCTGAGGAAGCTGCTGGGGAAAGGTGATTAGGAAGCTGATACGTGATTCCTGATCTGATAAACTGCAGGTGTGGGAGGATGATATCAGCTAACGGTCCCGAGGAGGCCTCATAGGAAATGGGACTGAAGGAGTCCCAGGGTCAGGAGGAGTCAGCAGACACAAACCCTGCCTCCTCTGGGCCTGTGGCCAGCTGTGTGACCCTGGACAGGCATCCAACCCCTCGAGGGCCAGTGGGAAACTGTGAGATCATAGAGGCTGTGCCCTCTGTAGCCTGCAAATAGCTGCCCCAGAATGAGCTGATTCTTGCCAAACTCTAGATCCCAGTGTGTCAGAGCAAGACACACATCAGAGATGGCTCAGACTACCTGTTTATTGGGCAGGCATAGAAACCAAGGCCCAGAATGGGGCAGTGCCTCTGCCAAGAGTGCTCAGCAGATGAATGCTGCAGAATGATCTAGGACCCTGGATCACTGAACTGTCGTTAGTCCAGAATTTCTCCACCATCATGATGGGAAGGAGAAAGCAAGCTGGAGGGGGGCGGTCTTCATAGGAACCTATGGAGATGAGGATGGAGGGGTCACAGCACTAGGTGATTTGCGTTAGTCTCTGCCCTGCTCTTTACCAGAGCCTCTGTATTTGAATGATGAGAGGAAAAGTCTATCCCTAGGCGTCATCCAGGGTCTATGGTTTTCTCTTTGGGGGCCCAGTATCCATAGGCCAGCCCACTTTTCCTGATGTGGGGTTAGCTAGGGACGGGGAAGTGACTCCCTTTCACCTGTACAGACTGCAGAGGGAAGGAAGCGACTTCATGGACCTGGCTGAGGGAGGTCCCCCACCCCCATCCATCCCGTGGTCCAGCCTGTTCCCAAGGGGACAATCCAGCCTGCTGCTGGACTTGCACGTTGCCAGGGTGACAGCTTAAACGCCAGGACCTTCTCTGCAGGATCAAAAGGCCAGATGAGTGGGTTCTGGGGGCAGGACTGCCCCAGTCCTGCCAGGGGAGAGCAAGGCTGGGTCAGGCTCTGGGAGAAACCAGGCCTAGGCCTGGCCCAGATCTCTGTCTGTGGAAACTGCTAACACTCGCCATGGCCCAGTTTCCCAAAATACTTAGCTTTGTCTTCCTAACCAGCACCCTCCAGACTGTACCTTCTTCCTTCCCCCAGCCCCAGAGCAATCTAATGGGTCCTGCTAGAACCAGGCATGGGGAAAGATCCAGATTCTGGTATTTGGGTACCCTGGGTTAGAATCACATTATACAAATTGTATTGCCCTGTCATGCAGTACCAGGTAATGCGTGTCCCATGTTATGCAGTACCAGCTTTTATGTGTATCACATTTATTATTCTGTGAAGTAGGTACCACTACTATGACCATTTTACAGATGAGAAAACAAATCAGAGATGTTAAGACACCTGCCCAGGATCCCACAGCAAGTAAGTGACAGAATTTGAACTTAGGTAGTCTGGCTCTGGAATCCAAATTTATACAACTCTAGAATAGCATCATCAACGCAAATGTTTGCAAAGGACAGGCAGGTATTATGGACTGAGTGGGGATGGCTATCAGGAGACCCCATGACCTGTCCAAAGGGAGCAGTCATGACTCAACTCTAGCTGATAGTTGACATGTAGGAATGTGGGTCTGGTGTAACCAGATCTTCCAAATTTTCAAGGGGATCTAGAAATAGGGATATTTATAGGAAATCTCTTGAGTTTTAAAAGTGCAACCTAGTTCCTTAAAAAACACACTGTATGAGCCAAGCAAAACATGTGTGCAAAGTTGGCTTGGGTTCATGGTATACCGGTTTGCAAACTCTGGCCTTGGACTTCATTCAGTGTTCTTAAGAGCCTTGCTCTCCCCTAACACTAATAATAACACTAGTATTAAGAACAGTTAATAACCAAAAAAAAAAAAAAAAAAAAAGAACAGTTAATAACCGTAATAACAACAACAAACACCTAGAGCTTACTGTGTGCCTTATACTATTCTTAGTGCTTACACTTAGCACTGTAACAAATTACAGGTGTTGTAATTTTCACAACAACCCTGTAAGGTAAGTAGGTATCATTATCAATCCCCACTTTCCAGATGAGGAAATTGAGGCATAGAACTGAATCACTTGCTCAAGATTCCGCAGCTTGTAGAGCTGAGAGTAAACCCAGGCGGCCCAGCTCCAGAAACTGCTTTAAAAAAAAGATTTTATTTATTAGAGAGAGAGAGAGAGAGAGAGAGAGAGAGAGAGAGAGTGTGTGTGTGTGTGTGTGTGTGTGTGTGTGCGCGCGCGCATGCGTGCAGAGGGAGAGGGAGAAGCAGACCCCTTCTGAGCAGGGAGCCTGATGTGGGGCTCGATCCCAGGACCCTGGGATCATGCCCTGAGCTGAAGGCAGGCGCTTAACCGACTGAGCCACCCAGCCACCCCCACAACCTGCTTTTTTAAGCCCCCTAACAAGGTAAGATTTTCAGAAATGTGTCATCTAATGTGTCAGCCCTCTTGATAGCCAGGTGCAGAAACCGAAGCCAGAACAGCACAGAGCCTTACCAAGGTGGCCAGTTCATTCACTCAACAGAGACTAAGCACCTCCTTCCTGCCAGGCACCGTTCTAGGCCCCAGGGATGCCCTGGTGATGTAGACCAACGGGCAAAACAACCCTCTACTGCCAAAGAGGTGGTGGGCACTCAATCCGTCTCCTCTGTCCCCATAGGTGGCCATGGTGGAGGTACAGCTGGAGAGCGACCATGAATACCCGCCAGGCCTGCTGGTGGCCTTTAGTGCCTGCACCACCGTGCTAGTAGCCGTGCACCTCTTTGCACTCATGGTCTCCACGTGTCTGCTGCCCCACATAGAAGCCGTTAGCAACATCCACAACCTCAACTCTGTCCACCAGTCGCCACACCAGCGACTCCACCGCTACGTGGAGCTGGCCTGGGGCTTCTCCACTGCCTTGGGCACCTTCCTCTTCCTCGCTGAAGTTGTCCTGGTTGGCTGGGTCAAGTTTGTGCCCATTGGGACGCCCTTGGGCACACCAGCCCCCCTGGTACCTGCCTCCCAGGTGCCTGGGACTCTGTTACCACTGACCACCTCCCTTCGTCCAGCTTCCAAGGCGTCCTCCCCTTCTGTAGCTCCATCACGGGCTGAGCCATCTGAGGCCTGCCCACCCCGGCAAGGGTGTGTTGCTGGAGGAGGGGCCCATGGGCCAGGCTGGCAAGCAGCCATGGCCTCCACGGCAATCATGGTACCCGTGGGGCTTGTGTTCGTGGCCTTTGCCCTGCATTTCTACCGCTCCTTAGTGGCACACAAGACCGACCGCCACAAGCAGGAGCTGGAGGAGCTGAGTCGCCTGCAGGGGGAGCTGCAGGCTGTGTGAGGCCCACGTGCGCTACCGCTGTAAACACTGCCGCCCTCCAGTCTGCAAGGGGACCCCGGTCCGCAGACCCCATTCCCTGCCCCTGCCTGGAGCCGCTTCTTGTGGCCACTCTCAGGCAGAGACCAGATTCCTGCCTTCAGGGTCCTTTGGGCTGGGCCTTGGGGCAGCTTCCACATTCCCAGGGATGCTCCCTGTCAGTCTATCCCAGTCTGTCTACTCTACATCTGGGCTGGGAGGAGCAAGCGAGGAAGTAGCAGGTCTTCAGTCCAAGGATCATGGTAGGTAGAGGGGAGGCAGGGAGATCCTGGTCAGACCTTTGGTGCTGACCTTAGCCACTTACCCCTGTACAGGATGTGGAGGTCAGAAGGTTACACACCCAGCCAGCTGCCTCAGAAGGCAGTCAACCCTTGCTTTATTTCTGTAGAATCTACTTTGTGGTTGGCATTTGGGGGAAGCTTTCCCCCATCTCCAGATTTTGATGGGTTCCACATTCTTGCTTTAGTTGCTGTAGAGAAGGATTTGTGTGGTTCTACCACAGACATAGGTCCAGTCTTACCTAG